AAGTGCATAGCTGGTAACCCCCAAAATCATGATTTTCCTTTTATTTATTTATTTATTTATTTATTTTTAGTCTCTACCGTATTTCTTTGTTGTCCTGTCAGTACCAGTTCTGGTGTGTGTTGTTTTTTCTTTCTTTATATTTTTTCTGAGCACAGTGATTGAGTACATGCCCCACTAATAGGGTATAATTATTTTGAGAGTAATATCCATGACTTAATACCATATCTCTCACTATATTGAGTGTAGTACCTTGATGCAGTAGCTAGCTACTCAGTAAATGTTAAATGGATAAGTCAATGAGTGAATAAATTTTAGGGACAGGTGCATAGATAAAAGTGATCGAAACAAGCTAAGTATTACCGCAGAGAAGGAACACGTATCTTTTCTATTATAGTTCCCACAGCTTCAACCAAATTTCTTTTGCTATGTTTACCTGTCCAATATATTGGCTGGTTGTACTCATACAGTACTAGTCTGAGCTAGAATTTATGAGTAATGGTCCAAATCTGTAATACAGCTTAAAAATAAAGCTTTAAAAACATTGATCCAGATGAAGAATGATAAGATGCAATAAAAGTTTATTTAGGGTATAAAATTTAAAAGGTATGTTCATCAACAATTCATTTTGAAAGTCCCCTTAGTATAGCCATTTCTATTCTGTATCTTTAACCAATTACAGGTAACATTGCTAGGAACAGATTTTGACAACAGACTTGTGCAAGGGAATTGTGTGCCTAGAGATTTACTTAAAATGTAGAATTAAAGTCATTTCAAGAAAGAAATTTAACATATGAAGAAAATATAACCATTTAGCATACTAAATAATTGGTCTAGAGAGTTATGAGTTAAAAATGTACAAGAATTAATAATAGTTTTTAGCAACATATACATTGGGACAGTATTTTCGCCACATCTATTATTTACCTATGCAATCATTAAGTTCATAATTTTTAAGTATCACATCAAAGAGTGTTATTCAACTTCCTGATGAGTAAATTACTGATAAACATAGTCGATTTTTTCAGTTTCGAAGGTCCTGAAAAATAGATAAAGCATATGACTTCCAATTATTGATAGAAGAGCCAGTCAAATAATATCTTCCATGAATCCTCTTACAATTAGTTTGCTAATTGATATTCAAAATATAGAAATGAATGAATTGCACATAAGGAAATCAGTACTTGTTTTCTGTTGCCATCATATATCACAATACAAGCATTAAAGTCTGTTTTAATTATAGAACTTTATGATCTTATTTACATGGTCTGTGAATTTGATCTTTGTTTTGGAATTCCTTTAATCCATTCTGATTCTAATCACCTCAGGACCAACTTTAGTGTATTTGTGCAAGGCATAGTCATTAGCTAGCTCTATATGTTGTCCAAACCACCAAATGAGATGTAGCAAATTCTGCCAATTGTCTAAAGTTTTATTATGCACGTTAAATATATGAATATTTGAAATATCAAGATATGTTGTATTTTACCAATAATATTAAAGTATTACTTCTTCACTTTTCACTTGTAATATGATGTCATTTAAACAAGTCAGTATTATTGAGAGGTGACAATGTGCTACCAGCCCTCACTCTCAGTGCCTTCTCGGCCTCAGCATCCACTCTGGCAGCGCTTGAGAAGCCCTTCAGCCTGCCACAGCACGGTGGCAGCCCCTCTCTGGGCTGACCGACGCCGGAGCCGCCTCTCTCTCCTTGCGGGGAGGTGTGGAGGAACAGGCGCCGGTGGGAACCTGTGCTGTGTGCCATGCTCACAGGCCAGCGCAAGTTCCAGAGGCCCAGGGCAGTGAGGGGCTTAGCACCTGGGCCAGCAGCTGCGGTGGGTGCGCCTGGGCCCCCAGCAGTGCTGGCCCTCCAGTGCTGTGCTCGAGTTCTCACCGGGCCTCAGCTGTCTCCCCGTGGGGCAGGGCTGGGGACCTGCAACCCCCCATGCCCAAACCCCTGCTGCGGAGGGCTCCTGCGCCGCCAGAGCCTTGCCAACGAGCACCGCCCCCTCCTCTGGGGCGCTTGGTGCCAACTACCACCTACGTACTGATGAGTGTGGGTGCACCGCACGAGACTGGCAGGCAGCTCCACCCGAGGCTCCAGTGTGGCGTCCACTGGGTGAAGCCAGCTGGGCTCCTGAATCTTAGTGGGGACTTGGAGAACTTTTAAGTCTAGCTAAGGGATGGTAAACGCACCAATCAGCGCTCCGTGTCTAGCTCAGGGTTTGTAAATGGACCAATAAGCACTCTGAAAAATGGACCAATCAGCTCTCTGTAAAATGGATCAATCAGCTTTATGTAAAATGGACCAATCAGCAGGATGTAGGTGGGGCCAGATGAAGGAATAAAAGCAGGCTGCCTGAACGAGACAGGGGAAACTCCTTAGATCCGATTATGCGGTGTGGTAGCTTTGTTCCTTGGCAATTTGGGAGCAGTGACTTTAAGAGCTGTAACACTCATTGGGAAGGTCTGCAAGGGAGGCGAGATGAGGAGCGCAGTAGAGAAGTAAGTGAGGCCACGAACCCACCAGAAGGAAGAAACTTCAGCTGCATCTGAGGGAACAACCTCCGGTCTATCGTAAGAACTGTAACACTCAGTGCAGGGGTCTGTGGCTTAATTGTTGAAGTCAGCGAGACCAAGAACCCACCAATTGTGGACACATTAGTAGAAATTTGATTCATTCTGAAAACCTCTAATCGACTGATCTAATGTTCAATATTCATTAACATCAAGTATTAGTACAATGGGGAATGAAAAAGTTGGAAATACTCTTCTGTTCTTTCCCTTTCTTTCCGTTCCTCGTTTCCCTCCCTCGCTTCCCTCCTTCCCTCCCCACCTTCCTTTCCCCATCCTTCCCTCCCTCCCCACCTTCCTCTCCCCATCCCTCCCTCCCTGCCTTTTCTTTCTTTCCCTGCCTTTGCTTTCTTTGTTTCCCTGCCTTTTCTTTCTTTCCTTGCCTTTTCTTTCTTTCCCTCCCCTTCCCTCTCTGATGGTCTCACTCTGTCACCCATGCTGGAGTGCAGTGGCATAATCTCGGCTCACTGCAAGCTCCGCCTCCTGGGTTCACGCCATTCTCTTGCCTGTTGCTCTCAAGTAGCGGGGACTCCATGACCATTTTTATTTTATTTTATTTTATTTTATTTTATATTTTATTTTATTTTATTTTTTATTTTTTTTTTTTTATTTTAGCGGAGATGGGGTTTCACCGTGTTAGCCAGGATTGTTTCGATCTCCTAACTTCGTGGTATATCTGTCTCAGCCTCCCAAAGTGCTAGAACATTTTTTTCTTATAATCTCGGGCTGTGGCGAGTTGGCCCAAGTGTTGTGGGACATTTTAGGTGTCAGGGACATAAACTACTCTCATTTGTCTGCTGTGTGGAGTCCCAGTTACCAGAACACCAGCCATTGTGTGTTCTTTCTAGTTTTCAGGTAGCAGAAAGAACAAGAAGAAATGTTGCACAAACCACCCTGCTTGCATCACATTGGCCAGAATTAGTCACATGTCCATGAAGCAAGCCACAGTGCCTGAAGTAGGACTACAGATTTTCTTTATTCTCCATAGTGGTAAAATACAAACAACTAGAGAAGAAGAGAACTCCTGTAGAGGACAACTAGCAGTAACCTACTCTACTAACTGTCCATTTACTGCTTCATTTTGCTCTAAGATAACATACAAACAGTGAAACTAAAATATGTTTTCAAAATTAGAAATTGTAAGTACTTTAGATAACTAAGATTAAAGAAATGTTACAAATACCACAATATCAACATAGTTACAGAGGAACATGAAACTTAGTACTGATTTTCTGAATATCCAAAATGAAAAGAAGTACCTCAATAATTGATTACATTGTTTTTTTTATCATTTTGAAAAAGGCACCACTGAGACAAAGTTCTTTGACCCTGAATAATTACAAAATTTATCTCATGGTAATTTTTAGGGAGAAAACTGTATATTATGGTTGACAATATTCCTATAACAGGTGCAGTGATTTTATAAGCTACTTATAGTGTCTTTGAATAAAAGTCAAAATGAAAGCATTATGAAGGCTGTTTTGTGAGTCTCTGAGGAAAAATGATTCCAAAAAAAAAAAAACCCTTTGGGTATTCTGGCTTATATACAAGGAGAGATTTTAGCCTGCCCAGAGGGCTGGGTGGACTACATACACTATGAATGGTTATCTGTAAATATTACTGTTGCTGAAAGATTTCTGAACAAGTGTAGGAAATTAAGGAATAGATTATCTAATTTTCTGTAGTCTGCCAGCATGTTTCAAATCAATCGAGCTCTCTTAACACCAGGTGTTCTCAAAAGTGAAAAGGGCCTATTTGTTAGCTTTAAGAAGACAAAAATGGGAAAAGATAAAAGAGGTGGAAGCAGAAACCAATTTGCTAAATTTACTAAATTAGACGGTTTATTGAAAAGGTAAGTGAATTTCTCATATCAGTCATAAAGAAGCTATTTTTGCAATGAAATGTGTGTTTATATCGAAGTCAGAAATTAGTTAGTGAATAACTCCCAGTAAATGTGAGATTATTAATTTCAGCTAAATTATGTGTTCTTAGAATTTTATCTTTTCAGGTAGTTTTATGTAGATTATATCTGTTAAAATTTTATTGGATGTAATTTACGTGGTTTACAAACAATAAATTCCTGAGACTAGATATGATAAATTTATAGTTTGTTGAATGTTTTGTTATTGAGGAATCTCAGATGGGTCCTCAGATGGCAAGGAAAATAAACTCATGGACCCTAAGTTTTTTAATTACTTTTATCTAATTTTTGATATGGTGATAATTAAAAGGGAGATGATAAGAAATTGAATTATTAAGCATTGTTAAATAATATGATGCATTAATAATGCATAAGTTATACTCCTGAGTTGCGTTGCTTCAAAGTATAAAGCAATTTTTAGATTTAATCAAAACTCTTTAAGGAATTAATCTTTGCTTTTAGGGAGCACTATAGATTGACATCAGAAATTTCTCTTATTTCCATGTAGGAAGAACCTTTTGTGATGGTCTCTGAAAATGTCTTGGGTAAGCCGAAGAAATACCAGGGCTTCTCCATTGATGTTTTGGATGCCTTATCTAACTACCTGGGTTTTAACTATGAAATTTATGTAGCACCGGATCACAAATATGGAAGCCCACAAGAAGATGGGACATGGAATGGCTTGGTAGGAGAGCTTGTCTTTAAGGTAAGAATTAATTAATTTGTCTCATACCTAAAGGTTCAATTATTTGTCTCGTACCTAAAGTTTCAACAGTAACACCTTGAAGCTAATTTCATATAAAATAAGTGCAATGTGTTTAGGTTGGTTAAGCATTAGGTGGTGGAGTTGAGTACAAAAGTCTCACTCAATACTATTTTATGAACTTTGTGGAAAAAAAAGTAAATGACAAAATAGACCAAATGTTAAAGTATATCCTGTGGTAGAAGAGGGTTTAGAGGAAGGCCTTTTCTTTGCTCAACTTATACCCCAAAAACTGTATATGATACATGATGAAATCACAATGTAACATACACACGCAATTAGTACTATTGTTTTCTTTTTTTTTTTTTTTTTTTTTTTTTTTGAGACGGAGTCTAAATGTGATGTTATTGGAAAAAAAAATGCACTACTTAGAAACTAATCATTTCATTTTGGAATCTAATTAAGATAGGTCTATACATACGTATATATTTTTCTTTGTTCTTTCAATTCTCAGAAAGGTGTTTAAAACCTGTGTCTTTCTTCAGTCCTGTCAGAATCTGCTTCAGTTTCTTGAGGCTCTGTTATTAGGCCCATAGACATTTATAATTATTAAGTTTTCCTCATAAATTATTGACTAGTTGGGTTTAAGTTTATAACTTACTATTTGGTTTATATGTATACTATTTTTTTCTCTGTTACTTCTTTTCCTGTTTTTCTTGGGGTTAATTAAATATATTTCAGTACTTGATTTTGTTGCTCTTGCTGCCCTTTTAGTTGTCTCCCTTTGTATTTTGGTTCGTGGTTAGTCTAAAGGTCATAATATGCATTCTTAACTTACCACATTCTGTCTAAAGTTAATATTGTACCACTTCATATAAAAAGTAATAAACTTTCAGCAATATAATTTTATTTACACTCACCCTATCATTTTTGCTATTGTGGTCACGTATTTATATTTTATTAACCTCATACCAAATATCATAGTTTTTTATTTAAATAGTTATTGTCTTTTAAAGGTACAAAAAGAAAAAAAAAGACAGTTACTGGGATATAATCACTTATTTACCATGTCTGGGGCTCTTTATTCCTTACATATATTTGAGCTCCCATTTGGTATAATGTACCTTCAACCTGAAGAACTTTCTTTAGAGTGTCTTGAAGTGCAGTGCTACATAGGTAGCATATATTCTCAACTTTTGTCTACCTTGAAATGTCTTTTTTTAACCCTCATTTTGAAATGATATTCTTACTGGACATCAAACTCTGAATTCACAGGGTTTTTTAATGTTCATCATTTTAAGGTTGTGATTCTATCACTTTTGCCCTCTATTTTTTCTGGTGAGAAATTAGCCATCATCTGTATCCTGATTCTTTATATGTAATGTATTTTTGTATGTGTTGGTGGCCGTTTTACAATTTTCTCTTCACTTTTTGGTGTTTAGAAATTGAACTGTGATGTTCTAGATATGATTTTCTTTGCATTTATTGTGCTGGGAATTCACTAAATTTCTGGGATAGGTTACATTTAGTAAATATAGGGAATTATTTCTTCACATTTTTTTACCTTCTTTCCTTTCTCTTCTTGATTTGAGGCTCAAAGAATATTCAAGTTAGATCACGTAATGTCTCCTAAGTCACAGAGGCCTTGCTTCTTTTATTAAGATATTTTTTACTCCCTGACCTTCAGATTTAATAATTTGTCTTGATCTGCCTTCAAGTTTACTGATATTCTGCCATCTTCAATTTTTTTTTAAGTCCATTCAGTAGCTTTTTCATTCTAGATTGCTTATTTTTTCTTTCTGGAATTTCAAATTTTTGAAATAAATTTTGTGTTTCTGCTGAGATTTCCTATCTTTTTTATCAGTTTTGACTATCTTAAAAGTTCATGATCACATTTATAATGGCTTCTTTAAAGTCCTTGTTTGCTAAAATGTCAACATCTTACCATCTCAGAATACATTGCATTTTCCTGGTTCTTCACATTTCTGGTTACATTTGATTATATATTGGACTTTGTGGTTGATATGTTGTTAAGACTTGTGATTATATCTCTGAAATTGTATATTCTGAAAAGGATTGATTTTCGTTTCAGTGGATAGTTAAATCACTATCTGTTCCTCTTGAATTCGTGAGATTTAGCTTTAAACATTGTTAAGTCTATTTGATGTAATCTTAGTTCCTAGGGCAAATCCCTTGGTTTTTGTAATCCACACATTTCTAAGATACAGCCTTCTGGAGTTTCTGGGGAAAGTCTGTGGTTTTCCTCAAGCCCTTCTGACTTAGAGGAACTCAAAATTCAATCTATATCTTCCCTGTCATAGGCAACAATTGTAATCCCCACTTTAGCACGTTTCGCCTTCTAGCCATTACTGTTTGCTAATTTTCCTAGGATCTCTCCCATATATATGCAGTTTAGGGGTCAGCTAAGGATTTTAGAAAGCTTATACACAGATTTTGGGGTTCACTCCTCTGTGGCATCCTCCTCCTTGTGTTTCGCTTTTCAATTTCTGGGAACCCTAGCTGATTCAAACTCCATCCTCTGACTAGTCAATAAGGCTGACTTTCTGCTTGAGTGCTGTCCACCCCATCCCAGCTGAACTGAAGTGGGTCCTCAATGACTAAGCCTTATAAAGGAGGGCTCCACCCAGTGCAGGTATTATTTTCGAGGATACCCTGCAGTTTCTGCCTGCTTTGGGTTCCTCTCCAGTCCTTTCTATATATATTTTTTTTTCAATTTGATCCTGAATTTTCAATTTTTATTCTTATAGGACTAGTCCAATAAAAGCTAGTACATCATTGCTAGAACTGGAATAATTTCTCAAATGCTTTAAAGTACTCAGAAGGCTAAAGGATCTAACCTAAATTGTTTGCAAGGAATGGAGAAGAGTAGAAATAAAAGGTTTCTTAAGGCAGTGGTAGGGAAAATAATAAAGCTATTTCTATATTCTATAAAATCCTAATGAATTTGGTCTATTTAATACATAAGTTACATACAGAATTTTATTGCCAAAGCATTAATATCATTATTTCTAATAGAAAATGGGCAATCATCAGTCCTCATCCTTCTTATTAAAACCACACCACTTCATCTTCTATTCTTTTAAAACTCACAAATTCAGTGTTCTACCTTTATATTTCTAAGGACTCTTTCCTGATCTAAACCCAGATTAGCAATTATGTTAAAATTAGTGTAAAGAAAAGGCATTATACAAATTTATTCTATATAGATAGTGGTTAAAATCCTTAATGAGTTATTATGCTAATAAACTACACTTGCTAGATGCAAATTAAACATAAAAAGCATTCAAATTAGTATGTTGATGTTGTTTTTAATTTGTTTTATGTGCTTGCACTAGTTAGTTTAATTTTGGAGACTTGCTTTTTCACCTATAAAATGAGGAGTCTAAGTATGTTAATGGTAAGATCACTTCCAAATACTCTGTTTCGAAAATATAAGTTTATTGTATAACAATCATACACAAGAAATAAAATGTTTTACATAAACAATTTCACTGTATTATTTACATGTAAGAGCATGTCATCATTGTATGATAATTTATAGTTTAGCAGGAGTCCTTTTGCAAAAAAAAAAAAAGAAGACACATGATTTTTAGACAGAAAAATTATAAAACTGTTCACTGGAACTAGGTTTTTATTTTGTTCAAGTGGATATTTAGTCACTCTGACTAGTCTTTAGGAAAACTATTAAGCAGGTGGAGGAGAAGAAACCTACAAAAAAGACTTGGAGTAGATAGAGACATTAAAAGAAAATTGAGAAAATGGGTTGTCATGAATGCCAACAGAAAATAACATTTCAAGAAGGAAAGAGCAGGCAACGTTAGAAAATGACTATCAAGTTAAGGGTATATAATGTTCCCTTAACTGTATTCTGACTGTTATCAGTAGAGCTATAAGTTCTATTTTTTAACAATTACAAATGTTAATTCAATTACATAAATGATACTTTAATAAAATACCATAAAATAATTTAACTTTCCCAGAAAATTAATCGTATTCAAACTTTATGAGGTGTATTTAGCCCTATCAAGCAAAATTACACTGTTGAAATGGCATAAAAATATTACTATGGAGTTCCAGAAAAGCAAGCTTATTATTGTTGTTATACCTTCTGATAATATAGATACTTTTGTGAATCTAAGTATATATTAAATAAATATTGCCAATGAATGTCTGTACAAAACAATAAGAATTCTAAAATTAACAGGATTAACTCATGTGTGCCTTTCTAAGGGGCTACCAAACTTAAAAGATTGTTTCACATAGTGCAGTTTTATATGTCATAATGATTATGCACAAACCATCACATTAAAGAAGAGTCAAAGAAGAAATGATGGAAAGTGAGCTCTAAATTCATATGATTATTCCACAGTGATTAGATCACACGTTAGAGAGTTTTCTCATTAAAACCAGAAGTCAGTGGTCCAGTACATACATACTTTTAAGGGAGGAAAATGCAGTCAGAGAGAGAGCGAATGATTGATATGATGTACATACGGAGTCTATTTAAAAACTAATAATATAGTAGAGTCTCCTCAAGTCCTTCTCTGCCTCACTACTTTTATAATTTTCTGCAACTAATGTGTTCTTAAAATTTATGAAAACACAAATCTGGCCAAAAGATGTTGAACAGATAAATGAGAGGTATCTTCTGCTTAGTACAGGAGAAATATTTAAGGGTGAGTTAATGTAACTGAGAAATTACTTTCTCCTAGTTTAGAAGGGAAGAGAGGCCCACAGAGAACTTTATATAAGAAATAAAAAATGTATCAAGTTTAGGATAGAAGTACCAAAAAAAAATTAAAAACAAAGATAACTCAGTTAGATACAGTTGGATGTTTGATGATATAGTTTCTTCTTTCACTGACTTTCACGTCAGCAGCTTTTAAAGTGGAGTATTTGGGGGTACCAGATTTTCCGAGGGGCAAGCCAGTATATTTGGCACAGGAAAATTTCAAGGAGTTGAGTGACATTTTGAAATAGAA